GGCCCCTGCGACGGAAACTGTCTCTGGGGAGGCGGGGAGCGAGCTGAGCTGTGAGCTGAGCACATGGAAACAAGGAGCACAGAGGGGTAGCTTTCTAAGAACCTGGGGAGCTTCAGGTTGAGAAGTATTTGGCATTCGCCCTGACTCATGAACAGATACAGTAAGTTAGATAAGACTTTTGGGGTTTATGTTGATTTTGGTCACTACACAGTGCAACTTAAAATGGATCACAACTGGGACCCAAAAGTCTGGAAAGGCTGTTAGAGATCTGGTTCCACCCACCCACCTTGAGGGCGAAGAGACCCAGCGCCAGGGTCACATGCTCAAGACCTCAGAAGGCTGGGTGGGGGCATCTGAAGCCTGAGTCTGGGATGAAACTAATACAAATATGTTTTCAAGAGCAAAACCAGAAAGCAGATGTGAACTATTCTGGGACGACGGGTGTTAATTATATTCTGGTCAAGAATTTCATTTTTCTTTTCATTTCCTGCCCAACTTCACTTTGGCCTCCCGGGGGCATGCTGGCAGAATCTCTGTCTCCCTGCGAGGTCTGCAGGCGCAGGTCCTCACCCCCCCCCCATCATGAGCCCCTCCAAGCTCTGCTAAATTTCTGCTTTACCGTCCATCTCTCACATTTTTGTTCAGTGAGTGTCGAACTTAATCATAAAAGTTGTCATTTAGTGCCTACCATGGGCTAGACACATTTCATTCCAGTAGCTGATCTTTACAATCTTCTTTCTTACTACAACAGATATTCATTGAATTCACACAGAGAGAAGCTCACTTGAACAGGTGTTGTGGACCCAAGACAAAGCATTTCATAAACACTTTTATGACATTTAAGAAAATAAAGTTGTTTATCAATTTGCATTCTAAGGAAATGTAAGTGTATTTTCTTACAGGCAAACTCCTGTGCTTGCTAAGTGTTACTGACATGAGGGGACGAAAGCAGTGGGTGGATATTTCATTTGTGCGTATGTTTGTGGCTCAGGGATTTTGTAAGTTGTTCTACAAAACCAAATAAGCTCATTGTGTTAATTTAAAATCCTATTTTAATCTAAAATCTTCTGTACCAAGGATGTCATATCACTTTTAGCCAATCTACCCAGCTGAGTTGGATGTTGTTATATAAGCTGTCTAAATAGTGTCAGCAAATATGAACATGTATTTTGGTCTTAAACTGATGAATTTGGCTCTTGAAAAGGCTGAACTTGTGCTTTGGGCTGTTTACTAGCTTGGGTTGATCACCAAAGCAAACAATTCCAGCTGTGAGGCAGAACATTTCCACCCTACTCTAATAGTGAGCTTCTCAGTTTCACTCTATTTTTTTAACTTCTTGTGACAATTTTTAAAATGTGTGTGTGTGCATGTGTGTGTCAGTTTGGAAGGATTGGATGGGAGGCATACAAAGGAGACCATTAAGCCTCTTAGTATAGTTCAACATAAAGAAAATGAAGATCAACCTATCTTTTTAGATTATTACAACATGAAGCTCTTGTGAGTTTATAAATTGCCAGCCACTAGGGGTACCACTGGGACCACCAATTTCAGGGTGTTTACAAGCTGAACTAGGCAAAGGAGTTATGGGAAGGTGATCATGATCTTCATGGCAGTGTTGTCAGACTCACTCATTCAGCCACTATTTAGGGAGCCCCCTTTGCGTGCAAGTTTCTGTGGCCATGGCAGCGGTAATCTGAGGGGAGCAGCGCAGAGATTCAGGAAGCTGTAGGTCTCCCTACTCTAGATCTCTGGGTGAGATTGGAGGGACTAAGGTGAGGCTTTACTTAAGTAAAAGGAGAAAATCACTTTTGAAAACAATTAAAATCAATACAGGTGGTATGCTGAAAGGGCAAAGATCTTGACGGTCATATGGGAATGAGGAAAGTTTGAGAAATACTGAGCTGGTAGTAGGTGCGCAATGGTTAGGGGGAAATTGCTTGGGTGGGTTATCTTGAAGAAGGCAGAGCCTTTGGAGTGAGGCATCTTGCATGTGATGGGGTCCTCGCCATCTCCTCCAGCCCTGCCTAGCTACAGCTGAGAAAGTAGCTGAGGCTTTAAAGAAGGGAAGAGGCCAGGATTGAAACAGCCTTTGCAGGTGCTTCGGCATGCGAATGGGTCTCTAGCGGTGGGAAGTTATTTTCCGTTCTTCCGCTGTTTGCTCTCTTGGTAGATGGTTTCAAAATGCTGTAGTGACCAGTGAGTATTGGAAGGTGCTGACAAATTAGATTAGTGAAATTATTATCACAGCATTAAAGAAGTTCAGGCAAGGAAGTGGTTCACCATAAAACACTACAACTCCCTTTAAGATTGTGCGGAGGATGCTGATTTCTTAGCCCAAATGATAGATTAGTTGCACTTGATAAGTCTCCATACACTTAAAAACCCCCAGAGGAAACAAACACCAAAATCATCAGAAAAGTTAAGCCTACCTAAAAACAACACAGGAATGGGTTGCGAGGAATCCCTTCTTGTGGAGTTGGGAAGTTTACTGTGAACGGGGTGACATGCACCAAATCCCTCCCCCTCCCCTCACGGGCACGTTCACGCCAGAGGTAGATCAGCAAGCTCAGTGGTCGTGTTCAGCGGCTGCTCGTGGGAAACACGGTAGGGAAGGGGGCAGTGGGCAGGCGAGATGGGATCTGTCCTCTTGGCCCTTATCATCAAGCCAAGGGGAAAGGCAAGCTTACAAAACAGTCTCAAAGCAGACAACGCGTGGCACGGGCCGGCAGGGACAGGGCCGCCTCTGCGAAAGTGAGAAGCCGGGAAGGCCCGGGTCTGGGCTCGGCGTGGAAAGGGCCCTGGGAGGGTTGCAGGTGCCTGAGGACTGCGAGGGAGAGAAGGTTGCCCTGAGCAAGGGACCAGAATTTTCACTGGGTGAGGCAGTAGAAGCGTCCAGAGATGTTCGTTTAGATCTGTTATTATTTCAAATTGCAGAAAGAGATGGATAATGCCGGAGAACCTGTCCTAACTCGTATTCGGGATGGCGCCCTCGCAGATCTGTGGTCTTTGCTAAATGGTCTCTGGGCTACCGTTAGTGTAAAGATGTTTTATGCACTCACCACAATGAAGGCACCTTCCTTCCTTCTAGTGGCCAGGCCTCGTTTCTGTTCTCTTTAAAGAAGAAATGAGACAAAAACTTCAGGTC